AGCCCAGACCTCTCAACAAAGGCTGTCCCTGCAGCCCTGGCTGCCAGTGCCTGGGCATCTGTGCCTAGCACAAAAAAGGAGGATAAACTGGTGAATGAAGATGCCATCACTGAAATGTAAGTAAAAGGAAAGAACAAATCAGTTTGCTCATTTCCAGCTAACAGACCCTTGGGTTTTTTTGGTACTCTTGTTTTGTTCAGTATTGTGATTAAAAGTCCCCAAAACTAAGGGATGTTGTTATGGCACTACAGTAAATGTGCTTTACAATTATAAAACCCCTCTCAAACACTGCAAGATTTCCCCTTCCTGTAGAGGAATGTTTATTGTCTTTTTATACTGATGGATCTTGTACATCCAAAACCGGGGTCTTGCACAGAACTACTACTTTTCTTTTGTAGATAGTGAGACCTGAGCCACATACGGGATAATGCCATGTTCTCTGCTGGAATATAGGGCTGGGTTTTTTCCCAGCATTGGTATCTGGCTATTTAGCAGATCCTGTTTAGCTTGTTCCTTCAGCAGCTTAGAAGCAAGGACAGCAAATGGATAGTATGTTCTGTCAACCTACAATGCTAAGCTTAAAAAGAATTAGGAAAAGGCAAAATCTTATTCTTATAACTATACCCCAAGTATTCACATAGTGTGCTCATTGGTGCAGAACTGATTGCAAGAAATGTGAAATGTACTTAAGAGTGGCTGGCACTGTTGTATCATTTTTGTATTTTTAAATCCTCATTCCTGATGTTGTAATATTTAGGGATGGGTGAGCTGGTTAAGACCACATAAGCATCTAACCTAAACATTTGAGGTTTGAAATAGTTTGGTTAGCTTCCCAGCTCCACTCCCAGTTTTCATATGCTCCAGCACTTCCCTGTTGGGACAAATCCAGAAGGGGAAATATCAAAATACCATGAGAGAGGCTATTCTCTAAAATTTGGTGGCTCCATGCCAGTGACCTGCTAACCTAGCAGCCAGATGAACCATGGTCATAGGTAATGCATCAGTACAATCCACAATGCCCACCTTGTTTTATGGCTTTGCCTGGTTTTTCTACAGTGTGCAAGAGTTGGAACCTAGAGATGGGGCTTTACATGGAAAATATTCCTGAAATTGCAAATAGCAAAACGTGTACTTTAAAGGAAGTGTGATATTGATTATTATAGAAAAATCCAAAATTGAAAACTAGAGAGAATGAAAGTTATCACTCAGAGTGCAAATATGTCTGTGTCAGAGACAAATATTTAATACACCAAGACAAGTATATCTCATTCTTCAAAACAAAACACTTTTTATTAAAGACACATGATGGAAAATTGAAGCATTTTCTTGGTTGTTTAGGAGAGTTGGATCACTTATGGAACAAACTAATATGACTTAGAGACTGCTTTTCAATAATTCCTGATTAAAAAAATCATAAATTAATGTTGGAACAAAGAGGTATCTCAGAAGAATTATTTATTTTATAGGTTAAAAAGCAGAACACCCTTGAAAGTCCCTTGCTTAATCTTGGATTTAGAATAAGTTAGAACACACACTATTCATAACTGAGTACTTTATCATGAATCATCTATAAATTTTTATCTCTGTCTCTGTATAAATATTACATGAAAATATGGAGAACATCAACTGCTCAGTAAAGTTTTATGTAATCTTAAAGAACAAGTCATGAACTTATCACAGTTTTGGTGCTCTTGGAACATCAGCTATGGGTTTGTTGATGCTTTTCTGTTTTTTTTTTTTTTTTGGTAAAGATAGTTTTCCACTGTGCCAGTAAAAGGCTGTATTAATGAACTTTTCCTTAAAGACAGATCTGATCCTCAAGCCAATGAACGCCTTGCTGTTGCCTTCGGGACTTTAAAAGTTTTTGGGATTTTGCTCAGCAGAAAGTCTCCAGATCTCCTCGTAAAGTTATGCGTCTTTGTACGCCTGATTTTGTGTGTGATATTGCTGTTAATCAACTAGGTGGGGTATAAAAAAATGTCTGGGTAACCCTTATAATATCCACATCTCAGAGCAACAGCTTCAGTTTCCTAACAGAGATGAAGGTGAGAAACTGTAGGATCTTATCCAACTCTCATAAACTGAGAGCAGGACACGTTCCCACTGCATTTAAGATGTGTGATTCATATTTGTCGCTTGTGGTGGCTATTTCTCTTATCCATNGGATGGAATGCGGAGGAGGTGGCCGTGCCCTCTGCTGCTGCTGCTGCTGCTTCTATCATCCTGGCGAGCTGAGACAGAGCAGAAGAGCTTTGGTAAGACTGAACTGAAAGCTGCCTTCAATGTTCTAACCCAAGAGGAGTGAAGATCTACAAGGAAATCCCCCGAAGGCTCGGGCTTGGAATTTCCACAAAGTAAGAACAAAAATCCTGACTGCCATACTTAAATCTGCTGCCTCAGGAAAATGAAGGACACTAACCAGTGCCACAAAGAAATGAAATTAAGGAACTGTGGCCTGAGGAGTGTCAGAACGACTTTTCTCTTTTCTTCTTGGACTTTTATTGAAGAAAAGGAGAAATTTAATTTAATGTAATATATATGTGGGTGTAAATAAACCTTTGTAAATATTTTCCCCTTCCCCCAATAACGAATGGTTGTGTTTTGTCTGAAAACTCTCCACATGAGGTGAAAAAGATTATCAAGTCCATACCATCACTAAACCCTCTCACAGGGGCAAACTGTGGGAGGGGGGCTTGAACTTAAAAATTAGTTTCTTGGGAGTTTCAAACCACCACAAGGATACCTCCCTAGAAAGTGTCTGCCAAACTGGTGGGAAATGAATTCAAATCCAGAATAATTGCTGTTCTATTGATCACAGAGAGGCAGTTAAAAAAACCAACAAATCGAATCAAACCAAACAATTCAGCTTCCGACAGGGGTTCAAGGCCCCAGCCACTCAACTGTGGGGCACAGAGGAGGGCATGAAGTGCTCTGTATCTCCCAAAACCGCTCCAGATGTGGATGCAGAACAATCCTGGGCCTTTCCAGGGATAATTGAATGACATGAGAGTGGCACCCCAGGCATTCTCCTCCCTTACTGCCGGAAGACAGCAGTCCCCAGCACAGCCAGGGAGACTGGGAACAAGCTCTGCTACCGTGGAAGGTGCTCCAACAGGTCTCTTACCAGTGCTGTACCCATGAGAGCCGTAGCCACTGGGCTGTTGGAAAGGGGTCGCTGATGCGTTGACGCTGACATTCACACCATGCTGCTTGGAAGAGGTAGGAGCAACCTACAGAACAGAGAGGAGCAGAGTGAGGAGAGGCTTTGCTGTGCCACCCCCCTGCCCAAATCCCACACCTTGCCTCCAGGAAACTCACAGGGAACACGGCGGGCCCATACTGGAAGGTGCTTGGGAGCCCTGGTACCCCTGTGTAGTACGGCAGACTGGTGTAACTGTAGCCAGGAGGCAGCGCCGGGTTCAGGAACGTCTGCTGCGTGGTGTGATGGGTCTGGGTCTGGCTCTGCTGAGGCTGTGCCAGAGTTGTTGCAGGAGCAGGAGAAGAGGCATCACCTCGGCCAAATTTTGTTAAGTCACCTGAAATAGAGGAGGTGAGAGTGAAGAACACAAGTGCCAGATCCTGGCCTGTTCCAGCTCAGCCCAAAGCTGACCCAGCCTTTTGATAAACAGCTACTTGAATCAGTTCCCCCTCCTGCCACTGCAAAAGTCTGCTGCCCTCACAAGCCCTCAGACCTTTGCACACTGATAAGGCAAAGCTGTTAATTAGTCCTTGGCCCTGAGAGGACTACCGGGGGGAAGGGAAGCCCACAGTAGCTCAGCTACTGTGCTGCACTGCCTGACGTCAGCTCACAATCCAGCACTGGATAAACCTGCTATTGGCTGCCTGTGCAGCAGAGCCTGGTGCTACAGCTCTCCTTCATCCCTCTCTGTGCACCAGCAGCAGGACTGAACACAACCCAGTTCCCTGCCTGGGCTGTGGAGGGCTTGGCTGCAGGGCTGGGGGAAGCGAAGCTGCCTGTGCTGCTCTTCATGAGCACCCGCTTGGTTCTTCTATGCAAAAACTCTCCAGTTCAGAGCTCACATGGGGCCACACTCCAAGCTTGGCATTTAAGCCTCAGCTGGGCAAAAGCACTTCCACACAAACTGGCTCCTGCTGAAGCCAGGGAGAATCAGTGCTGGAAAAATAGCAAACCTCAAGTGCAAACCAAGTGCAAAAATAGCAAACCAAGTGCAACAATTCCTAAAGCATGTGAAAGCTCAGCACAGTTACTGCCCACTGCAGGTTGGCAGTGCATAAAGCATCTACCAAGGTCAGTGAGCAGTCAGGCACCCGCTGAGTGCTTGGTTCAAGTTTGACAGGTCCCAAATGTCCCGCTGGTTTTCTTGATAAGACTGTCCCATAGATAAAAAACTTAATTTCTCCATACTTTGTGCTTCTTTGTATTTTTACTCGCAGTGCTTGAGTGCTGGCCTCACCACCACCTGGAAAGCAGTTCCCCAGCTGTACTCCTTGCTGAATCTGTCAGCCCTCCCTCACTCCCTTTCCAACTGCCACACTAACTCCTACTCGCCCACCTCTTCCCTGTAACAGGCCTTGACAAAACCAGATGTCCAAGGACAAGAATTTAGCTGCGAGACATGCTCCAAAACAAAGGCAGTGCAGGAGGCTGGCGCAGATGTAGCTCCAGCAGACAAAGGCACAGGACACCAGCAGCAGCAGCACAAACCCTGATGGAATGGGATTTAGAGCAGACTTTTTCCCTACCAGAGTACGGATTGCTGCTCAGGCTGCCATCTCTTCCAGTCAGCGGGGTGGTGGGTGTGGGGAATGGGATGCTGTAGTAATCCTGATGATTAAAAACAAATGGAGATATTTTATCAGCTCTGTCTAAAGGTGCAAAGCAGTATCTTTTGGGACAGAGGAATTTTTGTCCTGCAGCTGCAAGATATGTCAGGGTACCACAGTTCAACCAGCCACATCCAGGCTGATCATGACCTACAGCAGCCCCAGGTTTTTGTAGCATGCACCGTCCCCCTGATCTGGCTATTAGAAGAACCAGATAAGGTCTACTGGTATGCAGTCTTTAAACTGCCTGGACTTTCCCCTCTGCTTCAAAAGAAAATGGACATGTCCTATCACTAAGTAAAGCCCATTCTAAGAAGTATTTAGTCACTGCCTAAGTCAAGGATCAGAGGTGAATCTCTACAACAGCCCTGCTGCTGTAGTTCTCATGCTTCCTGGCCCCACAAGAGATACTGCTGATGAGTAACTCATGCACCCAAATTCCCACGTGTCAAGGAGCAACTGACTAACTCTGACGGCTGTCACAAAGAGGTGCAGCCATCCAGCACCCCATTTCTCCAGCTCTTTGGGACTACCCACAGCCTGACCTGTCTATAACCCCACAGCACTCAGAGCCAGCAGAAGCGGTGTGTCCCTGTCACTCTGCACTACTCACCAATGGGAATCTCGTCTGGAGCATTTGCAAATCATCGTATCCGTACACCTGTGGCTAGAAAAAGAGCAGCAGATGGACTAGATAAAGACACTTATCTAATTTTAGATTAAACATTTAGATAAACATGAGATAAAGCCAAAAGCAGCTGGTCAGCAGCCCATGACCCCCCAGGTGCAGGCAGCCACTCCCTATGCAGGCTGATGCTGCTGGGGGTTCCTGTGAGCTGCTCAAAGGACAGTGCTCCAGACCGCACAGCCCCTGAGCAGTTTTTCCTCAAAATCTGTTCTCAACTTCAGGAGAGGGCTGTGACACACCCCTAGACTTCGTGGGAGTCACCACCCTTGCCCTGACTGTGTTTGCCCTTTGTCACAGCATGTTTCTAACACAGCTCCATGCTCCCATGNGCACCATGCTCTGCCAAGGGTTGCTGCTCCCCAAAGGCTGGGGAGGCTGCTGAGAATAAGTACAGAGACTCTGCTCTGGGGTCACGAGGACAGACATTTACACCCACAGGCACGTGGATTTCATGGAAAACAGGAGGTTCAAACCCCACCTGTCCAAGGCAGCCCCACCGAGCTATGTCAGTTTTTGGTCTCCCCACTATCCTGCATCCCTCCCTGCTGCAGAGGGAGCTGGGAGGGATCTGGTGGCATGACATTACCATAAAGCAATTGTTCTACTCACTGGATAGGCATGTAGCAACCCTGGAGCCATGATGTATGGATTAGGCAACAACGGTGGGACTCCAGGAGGGAGATTAGGAGGGGCTTTTCCTGACAAAGGAAGAGAAAGTTCCACAGTAAAGCAAACAGCAGAAACTCACTCTCTTAGCTCCTGTACAGCAGGACCCAGGAAAGTACCTGATGTTGTTGCGACGGAGCTTCGAGTGGAGGCCGTCACCGTGGAGTTGCTGCTGAGGCTGAGGCCCAGGCTGCTGACGCTGCTGAGGCTGGATGAAACACTGACCACCGGCGGCGCGGCCGACACCGTGCTGGAGGAGGTGGAGAAAGTGCTAGCAGAAGAATGGAGGCTCGCTTCACCCTCCACACTCGTGTGCTAGGGAAGGAAGGGAGGAGAGTCAGGGGACCAGGCAGGTGGAACAGAGTGCACAGGTACCACAGGACACTGTCTACGCAAAATACACGCTGTGTCTGCACCTGGGTGTTCCTGCAGGCTACAAGGAAACCTGCTTTGCACCTGGCTTAAGTCCAAAGTCCTGACAGCAGCCAACCCCTAATGTTTTCAAGCCTCTCCTGTGGCTGTGCCCCAACATCTCTCTGCTGGGGGGAGCAGGGCAAGACACCACATTTGTGGCAGGGAGATTTATTCTGCTGCAGAAGCCGATACCCAGAGACTCCATACTATGAGAGCTCCAGCAGTAGAGACATTTGGCAGCACTGCATCAGCTACCAGTTTGCTCTGATGTGGCTGCGACTCTGTAGCGCTTTCAAGGGCTGCTATAGACCCAAAAGAGCCACTGCTCAGCCAGAGACAAGCAGGGGGTCAACAGCCTCAAGCCACAGGTGCACAGACAGTGTTCTGACATAACCCCCCATCCTCTCTCCGCACAGCACCCAAACTCCAGCAGGACAGCCAGCAGCCTGGCAGGTTCTGTCACAACCACAGCCCCAAGGTCAGGCACCCCAGACAACCTGGCCAAGCCAAGTGGGAACGGGGCACAGAGCGCGAGACCACACCCAGACTCACCAGGAGAGTTGAAGTTGATGTTCGCCCAGAGGATGTGGATGAGGACAGACTGTTCTGCTGGGTGGGCAACGCACTGCGGGAGGAGAAATAAAAAGTTGTCAAACCAAGGTGAGAGAGTCACTATTAGAGGCACTATCCCATTCCCCATCTACTCAGATGGGATGGGTCATCTCAGTCTTCCTCACTGCACGAGACGGTCTCTGATGTCTAGTATGGATTTCTGCTTCTAGTTCTGCTTCTCCAGAAATCCACCCCCGACGCTCCTCACCTGCTGAGCTGGGCAGTGGTTGTACTGGGGAGCTCCTCGCTGTGGCTCAGGTTGCTCAGAGCTGTCGAGTGTTGGCTGGCTGTTGTCAGCAAGGACGACGCAGACACCCCATCACTGAGAGGTGTGATACTGGGAGCAGAGGGGGAATCGGATTTCACTGCGGGGCCTGTAGCACCTGAAAAGAAAAGCTTTGGGTTAGGGGCAGCTACTGGCAACTTCCAGAGGGACCAGCAAATGCTCAGCCAAAGGAGTCAGGAGATCTGGGGATTCCCTCACTGCTGCCAACCAGTTACACACTTGTGATTGTGTTCTATGTCTCATTTTACACTGCCATTGGCTCTACAAAGAGCTTCAAGACCTACAGATGTCTTCTACAAAAAAAGCAGAATAAATTATTGTCATTGGTGACTCATCAAGGATCTCATGGATCCATCAACAGAAAGCTCAATGTTCCAAGGCAAGCAAATAATCTAAATGGCAGCAATTAGTCCAGCAGGGAAAGGACCTGCTATTAGCACAGATAAAGCTTCTCATCTGAAGCAGAGAACATGAGCAGCACAAGAGACACAGGTCACCTGCTGTGCTGGCAGACACTTACCTTCAACGGCCTGCGTGGTTTGTAACGGCGTGGGCTGTACAGAACTGAAACCATTCTGAGAAAGAAGAGAAAAAAGGAGTACTGGGCATCACAGCTGTGCATTTCCAGAGGCAGAGCTCGTGTCAGCTCCCTCCCACACTCCCTCCTCAGTTAAGAAAAGGTCCTGCTACCAACACATGTCACCAGACTGTGTTGGGGTCAGTTCCAAGGTCAGCTAGCCCCATGACAGCACGACCCCCACGTGTATATTTGAGAAATTAGTGCGAGAAGTTTCTCTGCTGCTGGTAGTTAAGACCACCTCAACCTCCTCAACCCATGTTCATTAGCCAAACCTGATGTTACTGAACTGGTGTGCAGCATGCAAGAACCAAATCTTTAAGAGGAAATTAAATCCTTCGCCAGCACGCCCCTCTCTAGCAGGGTAACTGCGTGAGACACAACACACACCTTGCAATCTACTTGACACCAGTCCCAGGTACGTAGCACAGCTGAGGGCTCTGGGAGCAGCCAGATGAGAGCTCTCACGAGAGCTCATGAGCCGCACAGTGAGGCTGGAGAACCACTTGATAAACCACTCAGCTTCCCCTGAGACA